ATGGACGGGGCAAAGGTTGACGGATATGTTGCCGGCACAAGAACACATGAACAAGGGGCACAAGAATCAATGGGAATGCGGTGACGGGTATCAACCAATCAACCAACGAGAACACAAACCTTGCTCATGAGCATCCTGATCCACAGTTGATCCCGGTTCAATACCCACAGGTATTGAGAGGATCGTTTGAATAGAGACTAACAATAATAAAGAAACAGTTAGAGCAAAAATCAAAGAATAATGAATGACCGGGAATGAGGTTGTATCTACTGGTATCGCGAGAAACTCAAAAAAAAAGAACATTCGTAGGTGGCGATGGTGACATGTGGGAAGCTTCGAGGTGAAGTTTCATGTGGAGTGAAAACATGTCAATCTAGGCGTATAGGCGTACAACGGAGAAAAGTGTAAAACTCCGCGATTTAACGCATGTGATTAATTTTCGGAAAAGAATACTAATTATTTACAAGCTTTTAACAGACTGGTAAATATTATACTGCCGATTTGTTTTACATTCCGGATCTAGCTGATAACGACCAGGTTACTGTTTTAACATGATAGTGACGAGTCAGAAGAAGTGACATTTTGGGCTTCTTTGTGGAAAGGTTTGTCTACAGTTGTCACTGACGGTCACGAGTAACAGATTCATCTAGGGATCTTTCGCTCAGCGATTATCCTATATATATATATATATATATATATATATATATATATAGGATAATCGCTGAGCGAAAGATCCCNAATTAAGAATGGTGCTATGGGCACTACACAAGCCATATCACCACACGTCAGTTGACAATTTCATGCGTTCCTAATTCTCGTCGAATGGGCAGGAGTACAGGAATTCTGTGATACACTGATACAATTTCCATCACCTATCTTGATTACCTCGCTAGTAAGCGTCTCTCTTACTCTGTGTCCCATTGTGAAATTAAATCTGGAAAAGGGAGTCTACAATTTTTGAGCACTTTGCAGTATTCCGGGAACCTTCTTTGGCGATAAGGTTGTTAGAACCAAGTTCTCATTGGCGATTTGTGAAAGTTATAACTTAAACCGGATAACAATTGGCTAGCATTGTATGGTGGAAGTGTTTTAATAGAACGGTACGATTTCAATGATAAAGATTGTCGAATTCGGAGTCTCTATTCGGAAGTGTATTTTTGAAAAACATTCCATTTTTTGAACTTGAAATTTCTCATAAACTAGTGTAGCAATCATAAAATTCATTGCATATTTCGATATTCCTCCTTAAGTTAGTTCAATCACAGTTGGTTTGTCGGAAATGTCACATTCCGTTCTGGATGTACGGTTAAAGTGGTCATTTTGATTATTCAGTATCAGAAGGGTAGAATTTTTATCGGTGCTCACGTAGCAATAACACAGTAATTGAATAAAATCTGCAAGCGTCGTACAAACTGCATGTGAATCTGGCCAATATTGATGCGTATATAGCTCACACATGGTTCATTTATGTCCTGTTGAGGACACGTGAGGTGTAGCTTACGGATTCTATTGCAGCATCATGCAACGGACAAAGCCAATGACACAAGGTTTAATCGCGCATGATCGGTTGGTGTCAGCACAGTTTAGCCCGATGTGACTTTTCCGGGGGATGGGAGAGGAACACACACATGCGAACGCGTACTTGCGAGGTAAACAATGAAGATAGGTGATGGAAATTGGCGAGTATGACGAAGGCACTTTTCACAAGCGTCTCCCCCACAGTTCAACAGGATATTGAGAAGTCTTTGTGGCATGGTGGTCATTCCGACATTGCTGGCGGGCTTGAAAACTACATGAGCCTGGCGGCTCCGATGCGGTCAATTATAAACAGCTTGAACTGATTTTCGGACAACCTGAATTGCAAAAGGCATATTCGGTCACAACTGAGAGCGATACTAGGGTTTTGACCAATTCGGCGGTTAGGCTCACTAAAGCTTGCATTCGGGTCATAGACTGACGGCTATCCCATCAATGTTGCCTAATACTACTTCATGGAGTGACATCTAAAATGCAGGTATAAATCAGTCCAGTAGGTGGAGACCAAGCAGCGATCGCGGCAACCCTCTACTATAATTTAGGCTTAAACGTAGCATTGCATCATAGGACAAATGATCACACACATACAAGGAAAACTGCGACCACAGTGATCAAACCGCACCCGTTTTGTCATACCAAGTGACATCCACGAACAGCACAGACCTCGTAGCTCAGCTGGTAGAGCGTGCGCTGTACAAAAGCGTAAGCGGTGTCCATGCCTGGGTTCGAATCCAACTGAGGCTACTGAACTTTCACAATCTCAAACTAAAAAAACAATTAGATCAGATAAGCCGACGAAACGAGCATTTGATCATGGACCGTAAAAAAAGGTTGTCGTACCGATCATGCAGATTCGTCCCGAGTAAGATTTGTGTGTTATAGCCAATGCAACTGCTTACCAAATGTCACTCGACCACCTACCACATCCCTTGGAAAGACCGAATCAGAATAATTAGACCACAGGGAACAGGGAAATGTTTCAGAATAGACACACAGTACGTCACTTTGAGCTTGAGAGTAATCTAAAACATGTAGAGATGCAGCCACCATAATAATTAAACTTCGACCAGCAGTGAAATAATGTCAACATGCCCCGAACTGCGTAACGCACCTTGTACGCTAAGACCGATGACAGAAACGATTGCCTTGAACCTGATAAGGAACAAGTGGATTGGAGTAGATTAACTGGGTCCGAGTCAGAGTTCGCGCAGACAAATTCGGGCTGCATAGCCTTGGAAGCGATTCTTAGGTCACATAAAAACATCGACGATACCCTCAAACTAGAAAAAAATAGCTTAGTTACTCGATAGTTTAACAGATCACTAGGAGAACATAAAACTAGCAAGAATTACTTTGTTGGAGAAATTTCACACTTTCTCCAACATATGGCCATAGAAGATAGCACCAGATGTTAGTAGAAACCAAGAGACACCAACAGGAATTGTGTACTACAAAAAACAGTATTCAGATGAAGCTCCACGAAAATTAGAATTGGGCAACACACTCACTTCCGTTCCGGCCAAGTCTGCAACTGTGCTCTGGATCAGTCGTGGAGCCCACGCGAAGTGACTGAAGCTGCTGCTGCAACATTGACATTAGATCGATCGATCGCCGATCACCTGAAAATACGTCGTCAACTCCCGGTATAGACTAAGACAGAAAATATGAAAAGAAATTTTCCAAAATATAAATAAATACAGAAATATAAGGGTAATGGTTCCAGAAAAAAATAAATTTCAGTAGAACCACTAATGAACAGTTAGCTTAGGTCAATAAATCAACAACCCCTGTTTACCGGGCGTTTTCCAAATGTGGACGGCAAAAAGCAAGTGCACTGGACAGCTGTCTATACGAAAGAAACAGCGCCATCCTCAAAAATACCAAGAAAAAGATTTATTGTCCGTCCGAATTGTCAGCGATGTTCGATACTGTTCACTACGTTGGAATACAAATCCAATCA